GTAAAAAGTTTTCCCAGACAACTGCTGAGACAGATTCCTCTATAATTTGATGGATTGTTCTTGTTTCAAGATTTATAAATCGGAGTAATAATTCTTCACACCAATTGCAGGGGAAAGTGGTCACGTTTCAGAATTAAATGATCAATTAAGCGCCGCACCCTCGCCGAAAATTATTTAACAAGCGCCGCGGTGCTAATTTGGGTGTTTACTAATAAACGCACCACGATGATCGGCGCTTGATAAATAGAGATATCAAAACCATATCGCTCGAGAAATAAGACCTCTACCAACTCGTGAGTTCTAAAGTGTTAATGCAGGGAAACTTCAAATTGTGCATACCTAGTACGCGCCTCACTTAATTCTCTCTATATTCCCCTCAGTGTTTTACCCGTAGTTTTCCTTTAACAGTGAAAATGTAATAATCGCCGCGGCGCTTAATCGATCATTTACGGTACCGATTTTCAGCAGTTCGTTACAAATTTTTTCTGGGCCAAGGGCCTTGTTAAACCCAAGTAGCTTTGACATAGATTCGATTTNTTTTAAGTCTGTTGTTCAGGATCGAAGTAAAAAGTTTTCCCAGACAACTGCTGAGACAGATTCCTCTATAATTTGATGGATTGTTCTTGTTTCAAGATTTATAAATCGGAGTAATAATTCTTCACACCAATTGCAGGGGAAAGTGGTCACGTTTCAGAATTAAATGATCAATTAAGCGCCGCACCCTCGCCGAAAATTATTTAACAAGCGCCGCGGTGCTAATTTGGGTGTTTACTAATAAACGCACCACGATGATCGGCGCTTGATAAATAGAGATATCAAAACCATATCGCTCGAGAAATAAGACCTCTACCAACTCGTGAGTTCTAAAGTGTTAATGCAGGGAAACTTCAAATTGTGCATACCTAGTACGCGCCTCACTTAATTCTCTCTATATTCCCCTCAGTGTTTTACCCGTAGTTTTCCTTTAACAGTGAAAATGTAATAATCGCCGCGGCGCTTAATCGATCATTTACGGTACCGATTTTCAGCAGTTCGTTACAAATTTTTTCTGGGCCAAGGGCCTTGTTAAACCCAAGTAGCTTTGACATAGATTCGATTTTAGAAATTTAAATGGGGCAATCTAAGCAATCATGGATGTTTTTCGCTTCTTCTAAACGCGGTGTGTCATCAATTACAGGGGTAAGATTTGTGGAAGATGTTGATATAATTGGGATCGAATGAAGTTTTTTAAAATGTTCCTACAGGCCATCTACGGGAATATCAAGCTTGTGATAAGAGGCATTGTCTCTTTCTTTTAATGTTGTGGCTGGCTTCGTTTCATAAAATTTCGACAATTTGAGATTTAGTTAATTTGTTCTTCTCTCTGTAAGCACCCTTAGCGCTGTTCCAAGGAATGATGCAATTCCAGCCTGGGCCCGGTTCCTCGAAAGATGGTTAAGTTTAATCCAGGATTAAGGACATAAAGCCAAATTTTAAACAAGGTTTTCTTGTATAACAACATGTAACTCGAGCTTACAAAATACTGTTGTGCCTTATTTACCTTGAAAAAAAGAAATGATAACACAACATGTTACTCTAAGCATTGCATTGGAAGGTAAATACAAAAAGTGGAACAAATTTTAATCCTGGATTAGCGTTAATTGGCCTTTCATGAACCCCGGGCCTGATTGTCTTGTCCTGCACCTGCTTGTGATTGTCTTCGATTTGTGTCAAGAGGATCCTCTGAATTCCTTTTCTTCCTTCCCATCGTTGAGGTTTTCCTAATCCATTCGATGGCCAGGAAGTACAAGAAAATGTAATAAGAACAGCCCTGCCAGACTCAAGTCTGACGTTAACACTCTCAGACAATTTGCCTCGATGCAGGACGTTTCCTGACAACCTCGTCCCCAGGGCGCTTTTCCCTGGCTCTTTTTCTGACACTTATATATAATCGATTACAAAGCTGAATAGCTTTCAAGTCGCAATATCCACATACAAATTCTCCAGTCTTAGACTGCAAGCAGTCTCTCTTTTTATTAAGATTTAGTGAGGGGAGTGAACAGGAGGAACGAGGGCAGCAGACCGCTTGTAGTCTACTCCAGACTGGTCTCCATACACTTCCTTAAAAAATAAGTTGGGAGAATTTGGTAAAAGATCAAAGCATTTTTTCTTAGATATCTATTTTATTAATTCTCCCAACCTTTTCGTTTCATTGAGTATTGTTAGGAGAAAATTGATGTTGGTTTCTCTTGGGAAGTAAATTAAAGGCTTAACCCCTGGATTGTGATTTACATGTACCGGCTTGCAGTGGTTAGCACTATCCAACTCTTGACCAACTGGGGCCTGGTGCACTGGAGCCTCCTTCATGAAAACCTTCTGAACAACCCTTTGTTTCCCACACCACACAGACACTGTCACTCACCACACAGACACAGTTACAGTCCCATAAACACAGTCTATGTGATGTATGTGTGAAAGTATGAGAATTGAGAGGGTGGGAATTTTAGGGGGGGGGGCAGTAGGATCACTAAAAACTGAACAACAATAGACTGACTTCCACTTTATAATCTCTGAAACAGTAACAGTTTTAACTAGTGATACTGTATAAGCATCAGACTCTTACATCTATTGAAAAGAAGCTATGGTGGAAGCGCAACAGCATGGACACAAGCACAAGGAAAAAAAACCTCTGGTACTTATGCTTGGGTTTAAGCTGTTTTCCTGAGAAGAAAGTATTTTTGTCATTGCACTTCTGCTTGAGTCGCTAGTAAAAACCAGGCTCAACACTTTATGTACTATATGAAACGCTCAACACAGTGTTCCACCTGATATCCAGGTGTCACATCCACAAGTGACTTCAAAAACAAGGAACACCTGTGTTTTCTTAAACCAGGTTTGAGATATCTGGATATCAGATAAAATGCTGTCTTCAATGGTCAATAGAAAACTTAAGATACACCATTTCTCCCCTCTAACCCTGGAGAAATGGCTAAGTTACCCAGGGTCAGGGGATAATGATGCCAATCACGAAATCATGGCTTCCTTAGATATTACCTCGTCAGGAACATGTTTGCCTACCTACACCCATCAGCAGAAACAGTATGTCTTAAGTTTCCTACTGATTCTTGAACAAAATTCAAAGCTTACGCTTAAAGACCTTAAGACGGAATCCATTAGGAAATTGAGTCATTTTAATTCTCAGTGGACAAAACCCTTGTACCAGAATATTTTAAGCCATATCATATTCTTTTTTACACTTCTTAAGGGTTATAGATGTAATTAGTTATCCATAATAACACCAAAGACAATTTCTCACTGGAGCCCGAGAGAATAAATTTCAAATTTCACAGGAGCTGAGAAAACAAAGGTGAAATTGTCATGTGCAAGACTTTATTTTGTGAAATTTGAGGCTTCTGAAGTTTTTTGGAGGGCTCCAATAAGAACCTTTTCTTCAGCGTTATTTCATACAACTTATTACATTTATAGCCCTTGAAAAGTGTCAAAAACAATGAGATATGCTTGAAATTATTCTGTTACAAGGTTTTTGTCAATTTAAAATTATAGTTACTCAGTTTCCCAATGGATTTCATCTTGAAATTTCATGGCAGTTAGGTTCCGACATCGAAACATCCTTACAGTAGTGATTACTGCTGTAAGGAGCTGCTGGAGCTGTGTCATGAAATTTACCAAAATTCAAACAGTGGGAAAGGCCACCATACTGAGTGAAACATAAAAAAAACTGCTGAAAAAAATGTAAGGAGGTATAAATAACATTAGCAAATAGAAAAGGAATCACGGATGGATAAACTTGAAGAAGACTGAAATGGATCGCAGTTGTGTTTTTTAAAACTTGTTAGCCTGACAGTTTTTCAAACTTCATTTTTGTTGTTTGTAACGTTTGATTTAATGCTTGGGAAACATACCGTAAAATTCCAAAAAAGAAGCCCCTCCATGTATAAGCCCCCCAAACTCATAACGTAAAACGCCCTCCGTTAAATCGCCCCTCCAAATATAAGCCCCCCCTGGGGGCTTGTACTTCGAAATTGCCCTCAAATACAAAGTAAAACAAAGCAAAACAAAGCAAAAATGGTAAGTTTCCTTCCAACTATAAGGCTAGCCCAATGGATTTTGAAATGTAAATTTCCCTCTGTAGATAAGCCCCTCCAAAAATAAGCCTCTCAAAAAGGGCCTTTGAAAAATATAAGCCAGGGGGCTTATTTTCGGAATTTTACGGTATTTGTTTAGCAGGAAGCAGTGCTTTTCACATTAACAAGTAATTCCTCAAGTTCCATAGGAATAAGAAGGTGTAATTGGCATTATTAAAAACTGTCAGGATCATTGAATAATGCAATTCTAGAGCTCTGATTGGCTTAGCCATCATATCATGGTATATGAGCCATTATACCATACTCTCCAAATAATTATGGTAACTGTACGCATCTGCTCAAAATTAAAAACAAGCTGAAAATTGGATGTTTTACAAATAAAGTCAAGAAGAATTCTCAATATTTAGAGGGCATTTTTAAGAAAACAATTATTCCACTTGCACTTGTTGGATATAAGATGATTATAGCCAAAACGGTGCTTACGCACCTCATTGGCTATAATCATCTCATATCCAATGCCCACTCGTGCAATAATTGTTAATTATAAACAAAAATATAATGAACTAACCATCCATGACACAGCCCTTCAATAAATTAGTAATGAGTTTCAGAAAGACAAAGACTACATCAAGATAGTTACAACACTCCTTTAAAAATGTTCATCCACAATGACAAATCCAAGAATCAAAAGACCACTATAGAAACAGTGACTCCTATGAAAATAAGGGTTCGTCTTTGGAAGAACTTGTGTGATTGATTCTTCCCCTTGGTGTCTTCATCACTATGAACTTGCCAAATCCAGTCCAGCCAGAAAAGGCAGGTTTATTGCAGGGACGATACCATCTGAAGATCAACCTTCATCCTTGATAACATCACAGATAGTTCCATTTTCAGCAATCTTAATGAGCTCTGACGTTATCCAAGACCATTTCTCTCTTCCTCGTTATGTTTCCTGACCTAAGAATACACATGAGATAGAAGTCCTTGCTTGTCAATTTAAAGAGGGTTGATACATTAAGGTCCAAAACTGTTTCCTAATTGGCAAACCTTTGTTGACATAATTTATTTGTTTACTTTTTTAACCAGTTAACCCATGGAAGACGTTGTCACATGTACAAATTACATGTAGGTGCAAAAGTTGAAAGAGCTGGTTATTTTGTGAAGTTTGTACAATTTTCAGCTCCTTGCAATCAATAACAAAGGAAATAGCAGCAATCAAAAACTGCGAAATTGTTGGGTTGCAAAAATGCTAATGAGATCATATATTCTTTGTATACTTTCAAGTTTTTGGAAGAGAATTTCTCCGAAAAGAATCGGTATATTGGGCTCAAATTTTCAGGGATAACTGGAATTGTTATAGTCTTTCAATATTCAATTAGTTTTATTTTTGTAAACAGAACAAGAACATTCATGAATTGAGAGCTGTTTCCTGAAAGGTTAGGTACCTCATAAGTTCAAAGGGTTTTAAACCTTTAATTTCATTGCATTGTTTGCAAAAAAACTTGAGAATCTTTTGTTTTAAAAAACGTTGTCATGGGATAATCTTCTTCCAAGGGCCTTGGTTCGAGTAGTTGCACGATAATAAATGGAGTTGACTATGCCCTTTAATCTTGACCACAAAAGTAGTTTACTGTTTCTGAAAATCAAGCAAAGTTCAGTTTCATGAAAAACAAGAATTACTTACAATCTTGATGATGTGTTCTCGTGATTTTTCATTGCCATAGCAAGTACTCTCCTTGTACGGTGGTTCAATTTTTAGGTCACCCATGACAACAATGGTTTGACCGTCCCACTTAACATCATTAAAACTGTTGATAAAACAAAACAAACAAATAAGAAGCAGAGATGTTAGGGACTTTCAAATTATTATTCAGTTACACAGTTTTGAGAGGGAAAATTCCATGTGAAAGTTCACTGTGCATTTTTTCAACCCATTTAGTCCCGAGCTGTATTATGCACTGGCAAGCAGTACTCCAAAATGCGACTCTTTCATTATTTGCAGCCCTGTATTATAATGTTAACTTGATGGTGTTAAAAAAATTATGTTAAAATCAAAGCAAATAGATGAAAGATTTACTGTGCCTTTTGTGTGGAAAATTATCCGACTTCAAGGAACATGTTAAAATAATTTATTATTGTAACATGTTCCTTGAAGTCGGATAATTTTCCATTATTGTGTGTCTTGCAAGCAGGCACGGATCTAGGATAAATACTGACCAATCTCCAAATGAGTGCCAAAGGCGCAAGCTTCTAGGGGGTCTGGGGTTCTCCCAGGAAAGTTTTTGGATTTTTAACTCTGTTAAGTCCGCTTTCCTGAGGTTCTGCATCATTCATATGGGATAATGGCCAGATTTCAACTAGGAAAGTGTTTCTAATCATTAAATATATATTTATTATGTAAAATCTGACAGATTTCTGTAAAATGGTGGAGGCCAGTGGGGATTTGTGCCCAGCAAAGTGAAAAATTTTCAAGAATAAACACATGTAACTTACGTTTTATTGATGGTATCAAACAGCTTTTGTGCTCCTGGTGTTACATTGACTCCAATTTTTTCTGCTGCCCGTCGTTTTTGCTCCAGAGCAGTATTTATTTTCTTATCAAGTTTGTCCACATCCACGATAGGTAGTGACTGTGCTGGTTTTGTGGACAGTTCTGTAACTTCAAGGCTTTTCATTAGGCCTATGTTCAGCATCTTAATGTCCATCACATTTTTCTTGGTATTTTTTGTTGATTCTACAACATATTAAGGACTCATCAAACTAATCAGATGTTATTTCCAAATTTCAATGAAGGAGCTATATGTCACAATAATTACCCTCTGTGACTTTCCAAGTCCAAACATTTATGTTCTCAAAAGCGTGGGATTTTTAGTTCAAAGCAATTATTTTTTATCAGCTCTTTTGTAAGTAGCCAGCACTTCTGTAATGACCAGGTGGTGATTTTTGCTAGTAACCAGAGCTTATGGCGAACCAATTAATACAGCCTTCACACCCTAACCCTAATGAAATAAAAAGGTTACAGGAAGTTGTCTGAATGTCTTGTGACATTTTTAGCTTTTTAACTTGATTTAATTTATTATTTTACATCAACCAATTTACACCAGTGTGTTAACTGTAACATTCTGGCCATCTAAACAAAAATCCATGGTTACAGCTTATACTATCTTGAATGCTGCCAACTTTTGAATCTTCTATGTCACCATGGATATTACTTATAAAAGTAAATACATGAATATAAAAATTAATAAAATTTACTTCCATCGTAAGATGACCAAATAGGTTTAGTTCTTTCTGTTTGCTATTTATTCAAAAGCAAAACGTCAAGATTTTCACTCTTCAAGTCAGTTTAATTGGAAATATTGCCTGGCCTGCAACCTTGAACTTAAATCTATGTAAAAGGCATGTAGCATTTACATAGTTGAACAGTGCCAGCTTTTTTTTCATTCAACCACGGACATTTTTTTTTGCAGAAGGATCCCATGTTGCAAAAGGAAGATGATATGTTTTATGCCAAATTTTGTACTGTCAAAATTCATCCACTTTATACTGTCATAAGCACATGAACAAAAACATAACCTATTATGCAATACTTAAAGTATTGCATGGTATAAAATAATTTTATTTTCCAATAAAATGTATTTTCAATACAGGTGTTGTTACCCATTTTTTCCCCCAACACCAACTTTAAGAATTAACCCTGAAAGCAAGGGCCTCGACTCTCAAAAACTATTCTCTGCTGCATATAAAATGAGAAACTCATATTAGCAACTGCTTAATTTAATGAGTCTGCTGTTTCGATATTAAAGCTCTCTCTTGAATTCTTCCTTTCCGGATGATCTTACGTAACGTAAAGAAATTTTCGATTTCTTTTCGGCTAGGGTAAGCTTATAAGCTCAACTACTCAAAGTAATAACAAATTTAAGGTCAACCTTTTAGCTACGTGCTTGCTTATTTGATATTTTTTTCGTTTCCGAACACATCAGATCATATCGAAGGATCAAAAAATGAAAACCTTTTGTTCATAGGATCTTTTGTCATGGAATAAAATTTCTCAAAAATCCGTCTCTTGATCTTCAAAGATGGAAACAAAGTTCTCCTTGCAGTCAAACACGAAGCTAAGTTGAAGTTGTACATGATTAAGCGTAAATTCTGACATTTGCAGAAAGATAAAAAAGTAGTAACGTCGATGATAACTTTTCCTACAACTCTCTTGATCACTAAACATGAAAAATTGAATTGTTATGACAAACAAGGAAAAAACTTTTCAAAAGACACATTCATGTGTCTATCGACCAACTACATACGATATTTACCCGCCAAACACAACTCATCGGAATGAAAAAGGATACTTATGATCAAAACTTTGGCTCCGTAGTCAAATGCCACAACTTCTCCTTCAATCTTTTCATCTAAGCAAGTTGTACAAACCACTTTAGTACCCGGTGGAATGTCCCTACTTTCTTTTGCATCTCCGGTAGCCATATTTTCACCGGTGCTTTTTACCCATGCGTGAAAAATGCAGGAGTTCACAAGGCTTCTCAGTTGTTGAGAATTTATATCTCCATCAAAACGCTTATGGAACATTTTCCTTTAAAAATGATATCTAATCTGATTCAAACCTGGAGATAAAAATAAAGCGTCACTATCTTAAGACTATTAGGCAACGAGTTTGTGCCTTTATGACATTTATCAAGCACATTTTCAAATATTAAGCGCTGGTATTGCAAGGTCCTTTATTTGAATTTCTCCTCGAGGTACTACCAGTAAAACCCGCTGACACATTTTCAGTTTCACAAAACGAAAAAAATAAAGATGGCGGACGGAATGGTAAGTTTACGATTTTCTTTGCATTATTTTTCCTAACTAGCAGAGCTTTGTATCTACGTTTTTTTTAGTTTAAAAGAACATTTTTTGTTTTATTTTGAATTTCTTTCTTGATCTTGCCCTTGGTACAATGCAGAAATAAGGACTTATACAGTTGAAAAGAAAAATGAAAGGAGATATTCCTTGAAAATCTCAGTAGAGCTTGCTAAGATCTCCTACCATTGTGTTCCTACGGACGGAGAATTTTTAATTTAAATGATAGGCGTAACAGTTAAAAGACTGATGAAGTAAGGTGACTGTGTAAACTTTTACTTATTACTGAACTTTATTCATCATTTTTTGTCTTTGAATTGATGAAATTGTAGAATAATATTGATGAATTGTTAGTTGGTTTGGCATCCATGGGATTTGAATGGGAAGACTGTCAGTCAGCAATAGAAGCAGGAAATAACACACTGGAATCCGCAGTGGAATGGTAAATATGCTGCCTATCAGACTCTCTAATATGGTAAAGTGCTAAATGCAGAGAAGATAATTAAGGCTAATTTAGACGGTACGACTTTTGCTTATGACTATCATGTACGACTAGCATATGTCATGAGTTCACATCAGATTGTGTCGTGTAAATGAGACCCACGACATCCATACAGCACGTGTGGATGTCGTAAGTAAAAAACTGTTTGCGTATGGATGGTCCAAAATCATGACGCATGCTAGTTGCATATAATAGTCGTAAGCAAAAATCATACTGTCTAAATTGTCCTTTAGAGATACCTACATACGCAACTTATGAAGTTATGAAAAGAAAGCCTGAAAAAATTAAGCTTACCTGGATTGGAACCCTAACTTTTGCATTACCAGTGCAGCACTCTAACCAATTGAGGTAGAAAGTGAACTGGGAACTGGTCATTAATTTTTTTTTTTGTAATATACCCTACCTGGGAAAGATAAAGATGAAATGATGAGGGGTGGGGGGACAACATCCTTGTGAATGTAATGGTTTTTTTTTTCTGAAAAGGGCAATTTTTATATCCAGTTCCAGAGACAAAAACTTACTTTGTAGAGCAGCACATAACTGTATGGCCCATACATGGGAATACCTCCCCAAGAACCCATTCTGACTGCTACTTGGATATGATTCTCAGTCATCAAATTAAATTCTTTAGCCATGCTTGTAAGTGGCCGTCTGATTTGCTTCCTACTAGTTGGGGTTTTTAATCATGGTTAATAAATAACGGGTGATAGATGTCAGGTCAAATATGGACCACTGCCTCATTAAACCCACACCTCTCCCCCCCCCCCCCTCCCCATCCCCCACCTCCTTGCCCAGAGTAATAATTATAAAAAATACTGCTTCAATGCCTTTGATTATTGTCTTTGGACATTGGTTGGCTGTGTATTTTATGGACTGGTGCGACAATTATTGAACTAATGTGTGGTCATTGAACTGCTGTCTTTTTTTACTCTTTTCTTGTTCTCTTAGAGAGCGATTATTACATGCCTTATTTACTTATCTGAAATATTACCTCAATAGAGCTACTCTGTAAATTTAAGGTAAAATAAAGTTTATGTTATGTTATGTTGATGATGTCTTTACAGTCAAACCAGGTCAAGCGTACCCCCCAAGAATACATTAATGAATTTATTATTCAAAAGTTGAATCCGTTGCTAGTTGTAGATTTCAGATTGATCTCTGCATTCTTGCATGTCTAATGAGCCGTGAATTCACACGCAAGGCAGTTATGAAATTTCTACCAGCTCCATTTTCCTGAAATTGATGTAAATGTCTTCTAAGAAGGTTAATCCATTCAAAGATTTCCAATCTGACCAAATACAGAGAAGTTCTCGTAAAATATTCACTGCTCATTATGCATGCAGAAATGCCGCTTTGAATTTGACACCAGTTACGGGAACGACTAACGGATTCATTTTTCAAATAATCAATTCATTAATAGAATCTTGGGGGGTACGCTTGACTTGGTTTGACTGTAAGCTGTTTTGGTTTATGAATGAGCTATTGTGTCTTCATTGCATCACACTGAAACAGAAAGAACGACAGGTGATGTAGAAGCAAAGCATTTATTTTTTTGTCTGTTTTCCAGGTTGATGAGGAAACAAGCTGATCAAAGTGGTGCAACTAGAGAAGAAATTAAGTCTGATCGAGTGAAAGAAAATAAGGTATGCCTTTCTGTTTTCTTAACTCTGTTGAGCACTTTATACAGTCATCATGGTTCATTATGTCTTAAAAAGACTGTGGATAAGTTTCATTTCACCAGTTATCTGGAAGAAACCTTCCGTTGTAGCTATGGTGAATGACCTTTATACAGTTAACTGTAATTTTTTACAACTGCTTATAAAGTGGTTGAGACTCCTTTGTCAAATAAGCACTGTTTTGACTTTTACTAATATACCTCAGCAGAAGAAACCTTTTGAATACAAGGGATTTCTTTCCCTCTTCAATATTCAAAGTTATCATTCAATACTTGCAGGGGGTGCGAGAGGGATGAAAGGGCTATGAAAAAGGTTTTATTTTCATATTGCTGCATCCTCCCTCAAGCAGTGCTGCCAAGAATAGTTGGTCATTGAACAAAGAATGACGGCATATATGCCAAGACTCGCTGGTTATCCACGAGTCCTGTATGTGGCACAAATCTTCCACTCTCCTGTACAGATCACCAAATCTCCCAAATACATGTAAAGTTGAATTTTGAGCTTTTCTATGCTTTAGTTTGGAATTTTGTCCATTTTCCTCAAAAATAATATTATTCATAAATTTTCTTGATCATTATATGACTTCTGTGGCAGTTAATGCAATTCTTCAATTGCTCAAAAGGCAAATTTTGATAGTCTGTACTTCATGTAAGACTTTGTATAATGTCCTGGGACATATGCATGTTATAGTATGGGGACTTGGTTACATTGCGTTTTTGAGGGATTGGCCGAGAAGGGGGATTGATGTTGGGGGTACTGTAAGGGTCAACGTGATATGTGATATTTCGTGGTTTGTCCAATTAAAATGGCGACCTACTTGTAGTCACATATATTTCCTTTCTGAGAGCTTGTTAGCTTTTTTTGGCTTGCACTTTTTGATCTCTACTTTGATTGGTTAATTTTTTCCTACATCTGCATTGATTGATGTTTATTACAGTCACAAGTTACTTGTATTCCAAGTCAAGAACCAAGCACATCAGCTGGTGGTTCTGTGCAAGTGCCAACTCACTTGTCAAGTCGCTACACAGTCAGTGAAGAGCATCAGAAAGCCAAGCAACAGTTTATGGAAAAAGAAAGAGAAAATGCAAGAATGGAAGCAAAAAGAAGGAAACTGATGGAAAAAAGAGTAAGGACGTACCACATTGTTCATTTTCATTCATCTATTCTACAAAGGGTTCCTTGCAACAATGGCAAACTGATGTTTGTGCGTTAAAGACGCTCTCTTGAAGAATTTCCATTTGATCTACTATAAAATTCCGAAAAATAAGCCCCTCCATGTATGAGCCCCTCCAAATATAAGCTCCCCAAACTAGTAATGCAAAAAACCCTCCGTTAAATTGCCCCTCCAAATGTAACCCCCCCCCCCCCCCCAGGGGCTTGTAGTTGCAAATTGTCCTCAAATACAAAGTAAAACAAAGCAAAAATGGTAAATTTCCTTCCAACCATAAGGCTAGCCCAATCGCAAATTTCCCTCCGTACATAAGTCCCTCCCAATATAAGCCACTCCAAAAATAAGCCCCACAAAAAGGGCCTTTGAAAAACATAAGCCCAGGGGCTTATTTTCAGAATTTTATGGTATTTTTTTATCAGCATGTGAGAATGAAAAGTACTCTATTTTCTTTGCATTACAATATTAATACATGGATGTCGATATTGGAAAGCTCGGCTGGTTAGTGTACAGCCCTCTGTGCACCTGAGGTTTCAAATGTGATTCCCAGGTGTGACCTCAAATCGTTGCTTGGACTTCCTTCCTTTCTATGTAGCTTGAAGTAGCTTTAACTACCATAAAATGGAGCACTAATGTAGAGACAAATGTACCCTTGGCCTCAGGTTTGTCAGGCTTATGTGTACTGTTCCAAGTTACCGACATAGAGGGAGGACCTTTGACCATATCATCTTGTTTTCTGTAGGCTCGACAGGAGATTCTTCAACAGATAGCAGAGGATAAGGTGAACAGACATGAAAGAAGACTAACAAAACTAGGAACTCATCCAGCCACATCTCAACCTGCTATCAGTGCTAGCAGTGGTACACCAAAAGAATGCTTGAAGGATCGGAAACAGTGTCTGCTTCAGGTACCATATTTCCTAGAATAAGTACCCATGCTCTAATAAGCACCCTCCCCTGAATAAGCACCCACCCTCTAGGCTATAATAGGGAGCTTAAGCGACAGCAACAGCAACAGTGACGGCTACAAAAACTTCACTTAAAAAGTGAATTTGCGCTGCCTCAAACTTTATCATGCGTATTCCATCTTGTTGAATTTGTCATTGTGGCCAATTTTTTTGGAGTTGAATTCTAAGGGACGTTCTTGAAACCGGATGATCATACTTAACCTATTTATGAAATGACTCCTGGGTCCAAACCTTTCACAGTATATAGTATTTTTGTTCACAAAGTGATGAAGTCTTACTTTGTGAATTATTCTGTAGAGAGGCCCTTGGTAA